TCCTAGTGTGGATAGTTTGTCCATCAGGGTTTGGGGGATCATGGTGTTGAAGGCGGATGTGAAGTCCACAAAGAGCATACGGACGTAAGAGTTTTTCTGCTCCAGGTGGTTGAGCGCAGTGTGGACCACAGAGGAGATTGCATCCTCTGTTGATCGGTTCTCACGGTATGCATACTGATGAGGGTCCTCGTTGATGTTGATGGTTGTTTTGATGTGAGTCATGACCAGTTTTTCGAAGCATTTAGCGACTATCGGGGTGAGGGCCACTGGCCGATAGTCATTCAGACCAGTCACTGTAGAGCTTTTTGGGACTGGGATGATGGTGGCAGTCTTCAGGCAGGTGGGAACTGTCTCCAGGGTAAGTGAGGTGTTAAAGATGTCTGCCAGCACCTCACAGAGCTGATCAGCACATTCCTTCAACACTTTTCCAGGGATGTTGTCTGGGCCAGTTGCCTTGTACGGATTAATCCTCCTGAAGGTACTCCTTACTTCTGCTGAGGTCACGCTGAGATGCTCTTCATCCGGTGGTGAGGTGAGTCTGGTGCTGGGTGGTCTGTTCGGGTCTTCAAAGCGTGCATAGAACTTGTTGAGGGCATCAGGCAGAGATGGGTCTTTGGGGCATTGTTCACTCCTTCCTTTATAATCTGTTATGCACTTAATGCCCCTCCACATGCTCCGAGGGTCTTGTGAGGTGAATTGACCCTTGATCCTCTGTGCATATGTGGCCTTGGCCTTCTTAATACCAGCAACCAGCTCTTTTCTTGTCCTACTCAGCTCCTCTGAGTTTCCAGACCTGAAGGCAGTGTTCCTGGCTTCCAGCAGGGTACGCACCTCTGCATTCAGCCAAGGTGCCAGTGTGAGTTAAAATACGCGGGAAACACAATAAATTTGTCCGTTCACCTGAAGAAGAAACATGGCACTGATAGCCTTGTTATGTAAACTCAATATCTATTTTTGTTTCTTTATAACTGAAAGGTCATCAGGACACTTTTAAGTTAACTGGTTTAAAAAATGCACTTAAACATGAGAAATGTGAGACTGTACTGAACAGGTCTTTTATTTTTGTCTTTTCATTAATTAAGAAAAAACGTTTTTATTTAAATGCCTGGTGCCTGTATTAACATAAATAAAATGGTTAAATCATATTCGAATTGTTTTTGTAATTTTTTTTTATATATAAATGAGATCGGCATTTGATATTGCAATATATCGATTGCAGACTTGTGAATCGAATAGAATCGAAATCGTATCATGACAGACTTTGTGATATCAAGAAAAATCGTATTGTCATACAAACAAATCAATATAATATTGTATCATGGTAAAGCTGGTGATTTACACCCTTACTTACTGTATTTAGCCTTAGCCTTAGTCAGCAGTTTCAGATAAGATTCTATGTCGCCCGCTCTGGCCCCCGGAATGCATTTGACTATGGAGTCCCTAAAGCCACGTTTCGGACTTTAAAGCTTCCAATAACCAGGGTCTGTTTCTCAGTGGGTGTGTCCCTGAGCAAGGAAAATCTATTAGAAACGTGAATGTTCATGTTTGTGCTGATGTTCAATGTTTAATGTTATGAGTGCTTAGTGTATATTTAGTTGATGTTTTTCTTAGTTCATATCTTAGATGTTATTACTGTTTTTCTTATACATTTTATTGTTGGATGTAACTGGGACCCTGTGTACATAATTTCGCTCCACCACATGTACCACATGAGGTGCGAATGACAATAAAGAATCTCTGACTCTGACTCTCTGACTCTGAACGGGTCACTGGTGAACTAGGGGCTTAGCCTTAGCACTACACTTTCTCTGGACCGTCACCCAGCCGGCCTGGGGTCCCGGCTGCTCGGGGTCTGCTGGAGGACCGCTAACGGGAGCTAGCCTCTGTGGTTCCACGCTGTCTAAGGGGACCTGGCTAGCTACTGGTTTTTCTACAGCACAGAGCCGAGCTTCCAGTTCAGACAGCCTCTCCTCCAAAGCTACCATAAGACTACATGTGTTACGTGTATCATTACCACTAAAGGAGGCAGAGGAGGAACTAAACATCTCACATGGAGCAAGAGAAAACAGAGGAAGCAAAGCAAGAGAGGAGCAGCAGCCATGCTAAGCTAACACTAGCAGTAGCTAGCAGAGCCAAATACACCAATAAAAACTGAGAAGTGTTGAAAGATGAAAGGTGTTTTAAGCACTATCCAACAGTAGAAAAACAACTGTGCTATGAACTAAAATGAAAAACTGTGCAAAATACAGATAAATCCGGAAAACAAAAGACGACTCGAGCAAACAATTCACTCGAGCTACAACAGACAAACAGGAAGTGACACAATATGTCTCACCATGAACGTGCAATGTCACCAGCTCCAACAGATGACGGGAATCAAAAAGTTATTATAAGTCATATATCACATCACATCCTGTTACTGACATAACTTCCTGACTGACATCCACAGCCCTGTATGTCCACTGACTGGACGGTCCACTGCCCTGCATGTCCATCGACCTTTAATTTCAAAGCTTGACTTGTTCTGATTTCCCTCCTAAAATCTCAAGTTTCCATTGGATGTTTTTCTCTAATTTGTCTCACCTGACTCACCTAGTCTCTGTTTGCAGGTGGCTTAAAGAAGCTTTGCCTTTGTTTGGAAACAAACAGGAATCTAATTGCTACACTCTGCTGGCCCCTTTCACCTGTGCAGGTATCTATGCTGTTACCTGAGTGTAGCTCCACTCCCTCCTACCTGGACTTGGTGTTGAACAGTTTCACCAGATTTTACCTGATCAGGAAGCTGCCAGTATACGAACTGCTTGACAAAGACTTCATGCAGAGCGCCGTGTACCAGGGTAACAACACATCTGTTATCTACTCGCTTCAGTTTTCCAAACACACCTGTTATATACTCCCTTCAGTTTTCCAAACACACCTGTTATCTATTCGCTTCAGTTTTCCA